CCACAATCTACTTAGAAACCCTATTTTACCACTCCAAGTGGAATACAGAAACTTCACCACCCTGTCTTCGTAGTGTAAGTGTTTTAGATACTGCGTCCACATACATAGAAAACCTTAAACGCTGGCACTCCAGCTTCCAGCTAGACATACTCTGGAGAACACAACCGGGAGCCGGGTGGTCTGTTTCCCTCCTCTCCAGCCGAGGTCTGCGTTTCGTTCTGGTCAGCGTGATGTCCCAAAGACGAGCGTCTGCAAGTCTGCCCAACTCTCCTCGTGCTGCTTCGTCTTCATTTCATCTTCGTCCCTGAGGTTATTTTTGCCGCACACAGAATTCTGGGTTGACAGTTCTTTTCTTCCAGCACTTTACAAATGTCGCTCCAGTTCCTTTGGCCTCTGTGGTTTCTGATAAGAAATTTTCAGTCATTCGAATCGCCGTTTCCCATCGCCGTTGCACTTATCCGGCCGCTTTAAAAATAAGTTGTTGCTATTTCTACCAGTTTGGTTAGGCTGCATCTGAGCACGGAGGTTCTCAGCGTGTGCCCTAGATGCTCTGGTGTGTTTTCTGCATCGGGCTCTTTCTTCTCTTGTCCCGGGACTGCAATCATACGTATTAGGTCTCCTAACATTGCCCACATGCTCTCTGTAAAAAAGTATTTTTCCTCTTACATGAATCTATCTTCAAGTTCACTGCCTTTCCTCTCCATTCTGCTATTGAGTCCAAACAGGTCTTATGAACTTCCATCACCCCCTAATCAGTTCTAAAACTTCTGTCTGGTTCTTGAGGTCCGTGCTCCTCTGCGGGCACTCTCCAGCTCAAGGCGACCGGCCCTTATTGCTGGAGCACTTGGACGCCTCAGGGGCTTTGTCAGACGAGTCCTCCATGTGTGTTGGTGCAGCTTCGCTGTCTGTCGACTGTATTTTCACATGCACATTAAGATTTCCCTGGTCCTTCAGATGCCAAATGATTTTGAACTGCAAGCTAGATAGCTGAAGACTGTGTATGTCTCTGGGTCTGAGCTACAGTCTGAGGAGAATGTTGACTTCTTGGTTGTAGTAACGAATTGATCTGGGTGGGTTCCAACCACAAGTTCGCACAAGTTCTCTGTAAGGCATGGTCCTGGAGTCAGCTTTCAAAGCCCGAGTGATAAGTACTTTCCAGACCTGCCCAAGGCTTGTGTGGGGTCTTCCAATCCAAAATTCAGAGGGGGACAGAGTAGTCAGTATGCTGTGTAGGGTCAGAGCCATGCCACCCTTCAAAGCAAAAGGAATGCAAATGAACCAATGACAGCTCACTGCAATAGAGTCAATTCTGACTCAAAGTAGAGAGCAGAACTCCCCTGCTGTCAGCCCAACTAGATGCCAAAGGCCCATCTTCCTCCCTCAGAGCAGCTGGATGATTCGAACCACTGCCTTTTCAGTTGGCAGCCCTGTGCTTAGCCCCTGGGCCAGCAGGGCTCCTCCCTGAAACCACAAAACTTCATTAAGGGCTAACTCTCCCTTAATGAACTTTCTGGCTCCCTGGGTCTCCCCTGGGCGGCTCTCTGGGCCCAGGGTTGTGTCCATGTCCATGTCTGAGGCAGATGTGGGAAGGAGGGAGCAGACTGAGCTGGCAACGACACTCCTGTGGCATGCCTCTGCCTGTGAGCTCTGCCCCCTTGCCAGGCCCTGCCGCCTCTGCCAGGCCTGCTTGGGCTGGGGTGCAAGGGCACAAGGGACTGAGAAGCCCCTGAGAGCTGGGGGCTCTCCTCACACTGCTAGTAGGCAAACGCCTGTTGCCAGACTGGGTGGAGCTGAGGGGCATGCTAACTCCACCCCAAGCCAGCAGTACTCTGAATTCTGTTCTTCCACAGCTGTGCCCCCACCTCCCTCCCTCCCAGAAGCTGGTCTCCACCAAGCAGCAGGTCCTGGAAGAGCACATGCTCGGGCAGCACTGTCACCTGCCCGGAACCCGAGTTCCAGAGACTGAGGAAGGGCAAGGAGCAGGGCGAGGGGGAGGGGGGGGGGGCTTCTTAGACGTAGTTTTGTGGGTAGAAAATAACATGTTTTCATGTTATTTTCATATTTTGTTGGCCCCGATCAGCCAGAGCCATCTCTTCTGCACTTTGAGCCTTTCTCAGTGGCCAGCCTTCTCACGGGGCCTGGCTGAGCAGAAGGAATTGTACTCCGAGCTGTCCTGAATTTGCCTTCTGGGATTTTCCTTTTAAGCTTTCTGAGCGGGCTTGAAATTCCAGAAGGCGATTCTCAATGTTCCAACTCTCAGGTGCATAGGAAGCGAAGGACATCACCTTGTCCTCAAAGTGACCTCCCTGCTCTTCAACACTCAGGAGGCCTGTGCAGCAGAATGACCCAAAGCAGTGTGGCCTTGGATCTCCTGGCTGCTGGGTCCATGGGCAGTGATTGTGGATCTCAGCAAAACGGAACCCTTGACCACCCCAACTCGCTCTCCATTGATCACGATGTGACCTGTGGGTCCAGTGGTGAGGACCGGGGTCTTCCTGACACTCGAGTTGTCATCCACACTGAAGGCTGGAGTCCTTGATCTGCATCAGCTCCTGCTTCAGGCTCGCTCACTTTCAGCCAGTAAGGTTGTCATCTGCGTATCTCGTTATTAACAAGCCTTCCTCCAGCCTGATGCCACATTCTTCTTTGGATAACCCACATCTCTGATGATTTGCTCAGCACAGAGTAAATAAATACAGTGAGAGGACACAACCTTGACGCGCACCTCCCCTGACTCTGACCTCGCAGGATTCCCTGCTCTGCTTGCGCAGCTCCCTCTTGATTCATGTACAAGTTGTGCCTGACAATCGCCGGTCTTCCCCAGGCTGTCCTTAGTTTGTTAAGTTCCACACAGCTGACGGCCTTTGCATGGTCATGTGCAAGTGCCCCACAGGTGTGAGAGCTGGGCACTGAATGAGCAAGACTGAAGACGAATCGGTGCATTTGAACTGTGGTGCTGGCAAAGAATATCCAAAGTGCCACCGACTGACAAAGGCACAACCAGACCTGTCTGGGAGGAAGTCCAGCCAGAGGCTCCTCAGAGGCCAGGCTGGCGAGGCTTCCTCTCACTACTTCGGACGTGTTGTCAGAAGAGACCCATCTGGAGAAGGACATCATGCTTGCTGAAGTAGAGGGGCAGGACGGAGAGGAAGGCTTCCGAGGAGATGGCCGGATAGTGGCTCTGACACGAGAACAACTCCTAGGACGGTGCAGGACCAGGTGGTGCTTCGCTCTGCTGACCATCTGGTCGCTGAGTCGGAACCAACCCGTGAAGGCGCTGGCAGCAGCAACACGCCAGACCATGGCGGAGTCCGCCCAGCGCAGCAGCTCTGACAGGCTCCTCCAGGACGTGGAGAGGGGCACTGGACACTGGCCTCTCCAACAGCTGCTTGGCCACAGTTTGACCCCCCCCACACACTGTGCCAACTCAGCACAGTGGATAATAGGAGGGACCATTATCCTCTCATTTGAGAGGTGACCTACACAAAGCTCAGAAAAGCCAAGGAACTTGCCCTAAGTTACACAGCCCAGCGGCCACCCAGCAGGGAGACAGCTCAGTGTCTGACTGCCCAGTCCATGGATCGAGGGAAGGAGGGGTGCCTCCCCCAGCACTTCGCTTCTGCTTCCCTCAGGCCCAGCACACCTCGAGGTTTACCACAGCCAGCACGGCGCCTGGCTGACTCCTGGCTGACTCGAGGCCTCCTACAGGAAGGGGGGTGGCACCCAGAGGAGGGAGCGACCAGAGGCAGGAGCAGGCAGGCAAGCAGGCAGACGGGGCAGATCGTGTAGCCAGCTATAATTGCACTCTCTATTATTGATGGTGGAAGCCAACTGGACTTCGGCACTGGGAGATTGTGTTACCTGACCGGCTGCCCAGCCATCCTGGCTCACAGGACACGCCTCCACATTCAGGAACCTGATCCCACACCTCCGAAACTCCCAGGGGAATGTAGCAGCAGAGGATGGACAGGGTGCCTCCAGGTGGTAAGCGCCAGGGGGGAGGGCGATGACAGGTGAGCAGGTGGCTCCACCATCTCCTGAGATGTTGGCCCTGGAGCTGCATGCACGCAGTCTAGCAGGGTGATTTCCAACAAGCCCACGTCTTGGGCAGTGCAGATTCAGAATCAGTGACCTGTGAACATGAACCCGACGCTAGTGCCTTATGCGTCCTGGGCTGGAGTCTGTGGGAGCAGCCAGAATCTCCAGCCCCATCCCACCGGCATTGCTATAGCTGCCACTGTAACTGCCCACTGGCCCCTCTGCAGCCCAGACCCGGCTGCAACTAAGCTCCTGTTCCTAGCCCAGGGCAAACACCCTCCGCCGGCAGGGCTAGAAGTGAAGGCCCTGGGTCCATTGGGCTGAAGAGGAGGCTCATGTGGCTGGAAGCCAGGGCCAGAAGCTGGAGGAGGACTGCCAGCACATTCCTGAGCCGCCCAGCGCAAAGCACCCCACACCGACCCAGGGGAGTGGGCCACTCCAGGGCCCCACACTGGGCCCTCCCTCCCCCAGAGACACCCAGGAAGACAAGGCCCAGGGCTCCCAAGGGTCAGAGGGAACCGGCCTCCTGCCAACAGCATGCCCAGAAGCTTCACAATTGATACCAGGGAAACCCCAATCAGGTGCCCTAAGATGAAGCTACTCTGCCAGCGGAACCAAAACAAAACCCACTGCTGTGTGGCCACCTCCAACTCAGCAAGCTGGCAGGGCCCGGCAGAGCTGCACCGCGGGTCCTGAGGCTGTCCTCTGAATGGGAGTAGTCAGCCTCGTCTTTTTCCTGCAGAGTGGCTAGTAGATTAGAACCGCTGACCTGGAGGTTGGCAGCCCAGCACCTAGCCCACAGCACCCCGGGGGCCTTGTGTGTCGGTGGCAAGGTCAGCGCAGAGCCGCCCACACGGCGAACAGGACTTGGTCCTCAGGAGCGGCGGCAGGGAAGGCCGTGTGCAGCCTCCTGACCAGCAGTGGTGCACAGCACAAGCCCTCAGCGTGCACAGGGCATATACCTGTGGGGTTTTCTTGGACTCTTTCTGAGCATTCTCTTGGAGCGGCACTTTTCCAAATAACTTCCATCCCAAGTCATTTTGTTTGTCAAGTCTTGTACTTTGTTTTCTAGTAAGCAAATTCCTACAGGAAGAAAATAACAGGGTTAGGGGGTTCCGGGCATTCACAGAAACAGGAGGGCAGTGCCCAGTTCTTCTATACCATGCCACACAGAAATTCCTGCAACTGCAGGGTCCCACACCCAGGTCTGCACACCTGACATTCAGGGCATGCACAGCAGGTCATACTTCAGGAGGCACTCGTGAGTAAGGAGAGTGCTGTGTCACAGTGCAGTGAGCCACCCAGGGTGGAAGTCCCAGCTCCAGTTGTGACTCTGTGACTCAGTTTCCCTGTTTACCACAGGGTAGGGCTGAGAATGAACACAGCTAGGACACCATTGGGTTGAACAGGTGCTTTGTTTCTGAGCCTCTTCATTAGTTTACATTGGCTACATGGAAAACCCAAACACACTGCCGGAGAGTCAATGCTGACTCAGCGCCCCCGTGGGTTTCCGAGGCTGTCATTGTTTATGGGAGTAGAAAGCCTGTCACCTTGTGGAGCTGCTGGTGGTTCTGAGCTGCCAACCATGCTGATCAAGCATGGCCCAATGCGTAACTACTACACCACCAGGGCTCCTTACCTTGGCAACGAGGTTAACGTATAAGGTCTCTATAAGAGGAGGCACCCCTGGTGGCACCAATGGCCATGCACTCAACCACCAGCGGAAAGGTCAGTGGGTCAAACCCTCCCTGAAGCTCCTCGGAGACAGGCTGTGAATGTGTCGGGAATGGCTAGGGCACTGTTCCACTCTGCACCCAAGGGCAGGGCTCCATGGTCACCACGTGCATCTGAGGTGAGCTGCTGGGGTGTGGCTGGGCAGCAGTGTTTGCGAGTCATTTTCTCAAGGACGCAAACCCAAGTGGTGTGCGGGGCTCAGTGGAGTGTGAATGGGGAGAGACTCAGTAGGGGCAGGCAGAACAGGGCAAACAGGGAGGGGTGGGAAGGAGAGGCAGGCAGCCTGTGTCAGAGACCAGTCTGTGTGACCCCACATGCTCTGTGATGACACCCCCAAACACAACCACAACTAAAGGAGAGCGAGGCTAGCCTGTGAGGAGCACACAGAAACAGGAGCAGGCTGCAGACTCAGAAGGGCTTCAAAGGGCTGGTGAGATCTGGGGTGATGTCACAAAACAGCAAGAAGAATGAACGTAGCGCAGCGAAGGAAAGGAGTATGGAGCTCACAGCGATACAAATCCCTCGCATCCGTTTTGCCTCCTTCAGCAGTAGACTACCAGTGGGCGGGAACCTCCAGCCTCAGCAGCTGAGCTCATCTGTCCCCCCAGGGGCTCCTAAAGGGCTGTGGACGTGAGTGTGGCTGTCTGCACTTCACTGGACGCCCTCCGTAGTGGGCGCCTAAGCTCTGGATTATCAGGCTGGTGGTTCACACCCACCCAGAGCACCTGGGAAGGCAGGTCTGGCATTCTGCTCCCCAAAGGCCCCAGGTCCCAGGAACCCAACAGAGCAGCCTCTCTCTGGCTGCCCAGCCATCACTGAGTACCAACTGACTTGATGCCAGCTTACCCCGTGGGGACGGACCGAGATGAAGGAGAAAGACAGCGGGAAGTGGGCGGTCTTCCTCATGGCGGAGTGACCCCGGCAGCATGGGAAGACAGAGTGGGTGGTGGAGCTGGGGGCCGACCAATCCAGACTGGAACTGAAGGTGGCCTTGGGTGAAGAACATGACTTTTACATCATTCAAAAGTGCCTCCCACAGACCTGAAATACCTAACTCTCAAAGAAACGGGGACTGTACTGGCGGTGTGTAACATGTCCTTCTGCGTAACAGAGAGCTATTCATCTGCTCTGTGTCAGGACCCTGCTCGACTTGTGAATGTGTGTGTGTGTGTAGCTACACAAGATAGTCAGATTGGCAATCTTATCTTACAGAGACAGCGACTGGACCAAGAGCCGCTGTTCTTGGGGAGCACGGGAAGGGATTGGGGCGAGCAGGGAGTCAACAATGATGGGTGCAGGGTAATGCTAAGTGTTCTAAAATTGATGGCAAGAGGGCACAGCTCAGGGTCCTCACACTTTTTAAACGGGGCCAGTTCACTGTCCCTCAGACCAGTCGGAGGGCCGGACTATAGTTTGAAAAAAAAATATGAACAAATATTTTCCTATGCACACTGCACATATCTTATTTTGAAGTAAAAAACCGAAACGGGGCATAAACACCCGGCGGGCTGGATAAATGTCCTCGGCGGGCCGCATGTGGTCCTCAGGCCGTAGTTTGAGGACGCCTGGCATAGCTTTTCTGGTCTTGCTTGCTCAATCGAATTGTATCTGAGAGGAATTATTGAGAGGTAAACGTTGGATAAATGTAATAGTGGAAGGAGGCTCAAAAAAAAAAAAGAAAAATATATAAATATGTGTTTATATATGTATATATATGCAAATACAACAAGGAAGCAGATGCCTCTACTTAAATCTTACCTCAGTATAAGAATGGTTTGTTCTAATAATGTGGTTTCTATGATACTCACCTTCCTGGCAGGACTGATCACTGAAGACAAA